CCCCCCCCCACCCAAAGTAATCCGCACCACAAAGACTGCAAGCCTTAGATCATTCTGCCTCCTTGCTGCAGATTCCCCAGGCCAATACGTTGAGTCACAGTTGTTTCTGCCTCGTGGTTTACGGCCAACGCAGAAGAATCACAATGGGTCGGTGGAAGGACGTAGCCAGAATTCTGTCTGGTAAACTCCCCTCTAATTGTGACTTTACGACCATTTTTATGGACTTTCAAACACTGTCTCATTTACGGTCTCAGAGGTGACCTTAAGAATGATTACGTCCAGATAATTCAGTATAGCCAAAATCAATGAGAGAGCAAATGTAAACCTCGAGATACTGGAAGTGAAAGCAAAACAATATTACAGTTGAGGAGGTGGTAAGAATGCCTAATGTGGATGTTAAAATTCCACCCACCCTGGCCCGATTAATGACAGGGTTAAGCTAAGCGAAAGTCGAATTGACACTTTAGTTGTCATTACAAAAAAGATGACACTAACAACTCGAGCGCTTAGGCATAACTTCTTCCATACCATTTCACTCATAATATGGAAATAAACGAAACAACCATTTCTTTCCTATGTTCGTCGTAAACATCTACGATCTCAGAGAACACCCCAAGGTTGCACCTGAGCCAGAGATCAGAGATTCCACAAATATTAGGATTTTCCTCGGCATTTTATATCCTCAATAATGCCTTTACAAAAAGTATATATAATTTGTCACTAGGCCAATTATGGGCGAATTCTGTCACCCAACCCTCACATTGCAGTAAAAGACTAAGGTCGCTCCACCTGTGCCATTTATCTGCTGTATCACAAAAGTGTGGAAAATGCATTATACAAAACAAATGAAAGACTACCACAAGGAGGAATCAACACATGGGAGGCAGCTCAAAGATTTATCGCGGGATCGCCTTGAAACGCTTCCCCAACCACATGAATCATTTCAGTCTCCTGCTGATTGTCCGTAAACAGTGAGATAGGCTGAAGCTAGATAGAAGAGAAGGCGTAACTCGAATCAGACTATAGCGGAAGAATGGGGAAAGAACAAACAAATTTACCCAATTTTGACTATTCTCTGCAGAGTAAGAATTCGAGGTGGACCAACTGAAGTCCGGGAGACCGGCAACTTCAGCGGAGATTTCTGGATAGGTGTTGAGATCAACGATCTCCGCAGGGGGCATTGTGAAATTAGTGTTTAGGTCAACTGGGAAGGCGTTATTACCGTCGCTCATATCCACCTCTTGCTCAGGAGCTACAGAGGAGGAGGATAGAGTGTCAGTGTGGTTGCTGCTGCCACATTGGCAAAATGAAGTATTACTCACGGGATACGCAATATGGGGAGCCTGTAGGATAGAAATTTTCGTAAGTGGGCTGTGAATACCCATTGGTGGAAATTGCGTAGATTTGCGGAGAAATCTAAAAAACGCAGTAACACGATCGTAAATAGCTACTTATATGCTTTAAGTAGATAAAATAAAAACACACCTGGTGGTCAACACCATTATCGCTGACAGTAGGAGCCTGTGAGCAGTAAATGGGGACAAAACTAGTTACAGGGAAGGAGTTGATCAACGACCCTGGTGATGTCGGAGCAGGATGCACACAAGATGGTGCAGACGCCTTCTCAATTGGTCGTGAGGAAGAGCGCAGACGTGGAATAGGAAGTTTCGCCGGTCGACTGTTTGGCAATGGTTTCGGCTTTGGAGCGAGTGGGCGAAACATGGGAGACAATGAAAGGCCTTCACCTCATAAATTATAGTAATACTAATGTGTTTATGAATTTTCAGTCCCTCAAGAGTAAGCGAAGAAGTTATGGGGATTAAGCTGAATGAATGAGAACCTTTCACTTACCATAATAACAGGAAGACTGGCCAACTGAGCATCCATCCTCTCCATTTGCTTCTTTGACAAGACTTCTAAATGGATTAACGTTAAAGATTAATCGGCTCCAATGAAATATGGTCTATTACTCAATTTATCAAAAATATTTCCGATGTGGTCCAAAGCTTGCGAATCCTGAGATAAACATAGCAAAGCTGGAACCACCACTTCTATCCCTCTTTGCTTTCAGTTCCCATACCCACGTTCCCTCTACCACGAGCCAATGAATTTTGCAAAGCAAAAGTCACTCAACTAGCTCTTTTGTCTGGTTATTACCAAAGAGTTTCTCGACAGGGTGACTTTCGAGTCATCTCTAACTTTATCGCGGGCTCATCTTAACTGGCCGGACTATACCCAAGGCGGGGGAGGAGGAGCGAGAAAGGGAGCAAATGAGACCTTTTCTTCTAAACATCGAGCCTATACGCCTCTATTGTTAACATTTCAAGTTAATTGGGCATCAAAACATTTCGGATGGTAAGCTTATGGCCAACAAGACCCTTTATGCACCTATAATAAAGGTCCTTTAAATATGCGTTGCCTGATTCCTTTCTCGCAAGAATCACTTAACTTGATACAGATATACCTGAGCTCGTTGCCCAACTGAAAACAAAATTGTAGTGGAGGGAGAAAGGCAAAAAAAGTGAGAACGCAAGAATTTGACCCTTTCCAATGCCCAAATTCCACCCCAGTTTACCCGGTTCGAGGTTCACCTGCTTTTTGAGTTTGGGATGACGATTCCTTCTGTGACGCGTGAACGCGGTAACCCGGTGAAATGTGAGGCCGCAATCCTCGCACTTGTATATCATTCGATTATGCGTTCTAAGGTGGATCTACACCCATCATGGGGAAGGGGGAAAAGAGAGAAGGAAAAGTGTTGGTTAAACAAGAGACAAATCAACGGCAAAGCAAAGGCAACAAAAGGTGGCAAGTACGTTACTACTTTTGTCCGATGAACACCTAGGAAATCCCTGTCTACAGTGTCTATAACCTCAAAACCCCAGCCATATGACTTGAGATAACAAACGAAACGCACACTACACTTTCTGAACTGATAATTTTCGAAGAGGCTTTGTAGCTGAAGATCTTTAAAGACGATACCATCCACATCAACCTTAAAAAAGGGTGAATGAACACTCGAATTGGATGTTCTCAGAGTTGCAGAGAATAATATTAAGACTTTTGACTCATGCCTCGTCGAATTCGACGACTGAACAAAGAAGAGTGACGTAAATATACAAGCTCACACAGTCCTCCCCTACCTAAGCCATAAGTTGCTTTCAGCGTCGTAGACATTTCGATTCGTTCCTGAAAGATCTAAGGCATCACGCCAAAATCAAACAGGAGGAAGTATAAAGAGAACAAAAAGAAAGGAAACGCGAAAAACTAGCCTTGAGAGCGTGAGTGGAGGTAAAAAAGCGGTCGCACTGAGGACAGGGGCATCGACAGTCGGGATCGTGAATAACGCGATGTTTAAAGAGATCAGAGAGGTTTGCAAAACGCTGCGTACAACCTGAGAGAGACAAGAAGACTATAGCATTCACAAACCCAGTTGATTTTTAGTCATGAAAACATACCCTCCTCTTCGCAGGCAATAGGCAACAATCCGTGCTCTCTGTATTGATGCAAATGGAAGGCGCTTTTTCGAACAAACTTCTTTTTGCATGTGCGACATGATAACCGTCGAAAGTTCTTTGGAAAGATCTTAAAGATGAAAACACAGAAACATAGAGCAAAGTAGTATTCGTTATTCTTAGTCGGCTAATGTACCTTTGATAGCTCTGAGTGCTACAATGATCACAGTGATAGACATGAACTCTCCAAGGAGGCAAAATCCCTAATTTACTAATTTGGTTACAGGACTTGAAGAGGAGAAGGAGAATGCTCGCCATAGATGAATGTGAATGGGCATACTTTATGCACGTTATCTCCAAGACCTCATCGGTCGATAGTACTCGCCGTTAAACACCCTCAAAGCTCGGGAATCCCGACAAAGTAGCACTCTATGGTACGAAACTAGGGTGACCACATCCTCCGTAGGGGTGGGGAGATAGAGAATTGTGTTGCACACAGATATTTGCTTTGAGGTTCCATTTTCACCTTGGAAGTATCACCCTTTCTCTACCTCCAGATCGTAGAACAGTTGTAAAGGTAAATAGACGAGTCAGTTTAGCTGACAGTAGCCATTAGTCTAGGAAAACCTCTTTATCTGCCAATACTGTACCTACAAGAGAGGAGGGAAATGCCCTCCTTTTAAATCTAAACAGCGATCATTCTTCTACAAACCCGTGGATTCGGTTCCCAAGTAGCGTCCTCCACGTCTGCTGAATGCGATGACAACCGAGATTGCTTTGACGGCTTTTCGAAGTAGACATCTGATGAGGCAGACTGGCTGCCTTCTGGGGATTCTGAGGCACTTTTAGCAGCGGCAGCAGCAGCAGTGACCTTGAAAGTGGACTCAATGTCCGTGGGAGGGGAGATCATCACGGTCACCTTTTTACGCAGTTTTGATGGAGTTATGACAGTTGTGGGCGTGCTTGATGAGGAAGGTAGATCCAGGCTCCACGTCGGCGTTGATAAAGGGTCAAGAGGTTCTTGAGCTCTCGACAATGTCTCCTTTATAGGCAAAATATTTTAGTAGCAAAGCAACAGTTTTTACCGGCAAAATATATGAATAATGAATGACGTCTCTGAGCCTAAGCTACTCCTTGTGAGAGTGAAAGTAGTCTAGCTTCCATTGTCACCACACCGGCAACCGAATCAATGAGGCGTTCGATGATTGAAATGCATCAACGCGTTAAACCGAATGATGTTTAGACATCAGAACTCGCGTTCCCTTCAATAAGATATGTGAGATCAGAAAAAAAACGTAAGGAAACGCAAGTTCGACATGAAGACAGTGTACACGAGAAGTACTAAGAATCCCTTTTCAAATAGCACCTACAATGGTGTAGAAATCGACCATACTTTCGAATGGAGTGCTTCCAGACAATGAAGAAACAATTGCAGGATCGAGCATTTACCTTAAAGCTAAGATGTGATCCCTTCGAAGAGAAGTTCAAAAACACAAAAATATGAAGGATTTTAAATGTCTGCGAGACCACGCTTTGAAAACGCAATCAAGGATTAAGTGAAAAAGAAAAAGCAGCACATGCCCAAGGAGATGAGTGTATTTCATCCCAACTTTGCTATTCTTTAAAAGGGAGGAGTTGAGACAACCTGCCAACGATTTTGCCCTCACTGTGCTAAATGACGAGGCGCTTGGTAGAGATAATGGTTCTAGACTGCAGTTTTGGGCAGTAAGTGTAATTAGAATCAGAAGAAATAACAGCTGACGTTTAAAAAGGCACATAAGGAGATGATCGCCAAAAAACTCACCGCAATAACATCCTCACATGGTTGTGTCAACTTTACGGCGGTAGGAGAAATACTAGATGGGGGAGACGGATCTGAACACCAAGTCGGCGTTGTTAGGGGGTCCGCATTTCGTTGATCACGCGAATCACTTTTCTAAAATGCAAATTCAAGGCATACACATGCTATAAAGTAGAAACAATACCAAAAGCAATGATTGGCAGACAGTTTTCACTTTTGTGAAAGGATGACAGAACTTCACCTCCTAATTCAGCAATGTAAAGCAAAGTGGAACGAAAGCGGATGAGGAACAGTGGATAAACTTTTTGGATTTGTTATGAAGTTCGAAAAAATGGATGAGATGTAGCTAGACTTCATGTCGGTGCTGACGCTTTTGGTAACTATGGCAATACAGGTAAGGAAATGTCTTAAAGCAATCAAAGCCATGGGCTCCTGGCAGTGCTAAAACCCTTGAGAGTAACTACATCACAAAATGCATGCTGTCAACAAGACCTATACGGAATTGGTATGGTCGTCATTTTCTCAAACGCGAAAGTCCATTCCCTTGATTGCTATGATGATTACTTGGAACGGAAAAAGTACACAAACAACCACCACAAAGAGAAAACATTCTAATACAGCCATAAAGATGGTTTAAAATGACAACTTGATCACCTTACATTCAATGGGATAAAGCAAAAACAAATAAGTTGGAAGTAAAAACGTTGAGCAATAGCAGAGCAAGACCATGGCCGAAAAGTTTCTAGGAGTCCAGAGACAACCTTTAACATGTATAAAGCAGTTGCTGCTTTGACATACGTACTAATGCCAATGAAGTGTCAATTCAAATCCTCGAAAGCAACCTGAAGAAAATCGGATGTATCTTGGGTGAATGAGAACACAAAAATGCTACTGCGCAGTCCAATGGAGGAAAAAAGCGCAACATCACATACTACAGTAAACACACAAATTTCCAATGGTCCAAACATGTGATTTTCGAAAAAAAGGCGAGTAAAAGAGGTCGATGATGAACGAGCTAAGACGTGGAAGTCTTTAGAATAAGGCGACATAATAGACGTCCGAGAAAAGTTGTTACCAGCGACTAGTCATCAGATAATATTGTCACGAAGCAAATGAGACAACTCAATAACCAACTTAAAACGAACCGAACTCATGAACACATGTATTCAACACATGCAATTACGCAACAGACAATATAAACAAATTTAAAAGAATATTAACAAGTACTTTCAACAGTTTTGTTTTCGGTTAGTGATTTATATTTTTCTTCAAACTTAGCGGCTTGACTTTCAAGATATATTGCTTGCAAATCATTACACTTCTGAGCAAACCCATCTAAATATTTCTAGATATTCTGTCAGAGAAGTGTGGTACAGTAACAACCCGCAGGCCAAGACACCACGAACCCTCCCAGCCTTTCCACAGTCTTCGGAAATCCTGGCTCTATAAGAGGTGGATTGGAGATTTTACCAGACATCCTTCATTTGAATGCAAGGTTATAGGGTACTGTTAAGACACGATCCAGTGTCACGCAAGGATTTTGCATCAAATGACTAAGTCTTCCTTGTAAGGACAATTTAAACAAGCGATATGCGATACTATTGGGTCCCATAGCCTATCCTCGGGCTCCTGAACATCAGACATCATTTGAGAGTCAGGGAATGTTTATTGGTCAACCCGTGCAGAACAGGAAAGGGAGCGTATTGGTGAGACGATTAGCAGATGTCGCCTCGCAAGGTCTGTTCGTACTCCACACCATTCAAATTCAAGTTTGAATTGCCTAGCCGCCTCTCCCCTATTAAGACATACATTAAAATATATCACAATTATAACTAAATTTAATCAATAAGGATGAGTTATTATGGTTTTCTTTGTTACAATATGTTCTGAGCCTACTTCTGCATGTAAGAAAATGCGTATGTGATGCCAAATATGGCCTGATGGTGCACAGGATTATATTTGTAGCTTCCCGAGAACTCCTGGCTGGTATAAGAAGTCAGCAATTGCAGCTTAATATATGTGTTCCAAAGACGACAGGGCAAATGTGCTTAAGCATGGTCTGAAAGCCAGCCCACGTGTAGAATGGCCAGACAAATCCTAAAGGCGACCACCATACCTCATGCGGTCACTGCCCCTCTCTTCTTTACAGTGACGTCCTCGGCGCTCCCATTGGCAAATCTCCCCCACCAGCCGTCGCAACATATTCGGTACAACAATGAAAGCACCCACGAGCCAACCATGCCAGTCGGTAGATAGCATGAGCTACTTGATCTCCTTGGCAGCTTCAACTGGATCTAGAGTTACGTCCGGTCTGACAACCAGGGTCGGAACCGCATCCATCTGTTAACCATCACTTGCTTCCACGACTAGATGGCGGAACGCTGGTCTAAAACAGACATGTTACAGTGAAAACGGGATGAGCCACTGTCCCGTATGTAAAGAGAACCGTAGTGTCATTTCCGACACCTATACACGGAACGTGTAAGGGAAGTTTCCGGTACGAAACTTCTCCAGATGGTTCACGACGGTGTGGTTTCACTTGTTAATAGCTTGTCTGTGGCTCATGGGAATAAGGGGAAGTAAAGTGCAGACTTCAGTCCAAGTGCTTTCGTTGTGAAGGATTCAGGGATTCTCCATCGCCAAGGTAAATGCGCCTCCCTCAATTCACGTCCCTTTTTCGCCTGTATCTTCATCTATTGCACTTCGATAGAGTCAGACTTCCTTCTACGCATGCATAGTTCATGATTGCCGGTGCACAACGCCAGAATGCGTTTATTAGTCTTGGACTTCTCCATTACAAAGTAGAACTCCTTTGCAGTCTTGTCTGCTGGTTGGACTATAACCTTCTTGTCGTGAAAAGAGAGGTTTCCAATTTCCGGCCAAGGGAACCCGATTCTGGGGTATCTGTATGTATTGAACCAC